GAGCGCGCGCCGCGGGAAGGTGGCCAGCAGGTAGTGCGCGTAGGCCTGGTGGTCGTGCACGAGCGCGTAGAGCAGCGCCTCCGACGGCGAGTAGGCGGCGGCGCGCCCGCGCTCGTCCCAGTGGAAGGCCTCGCTGGCGCGCATGTCCTCCAGCAGCCACACCGGAAGCAGGTCGCGCACCGCCTGGTAGAAGGCGAAGGATGACTTCCGGCACTGCTTCTGCGCCCTTGAGCGGGCGGCGCCCGCGCCCTCGGGCCCGCCGTCGGCGCCTCCCCCGAGCCGCGCGTCCCACGGCATGCTGACCGCAGGGCACCGCGCGACCTCAACCTCAAGGCATGGGCCCAGGCCACCGGGGACCGACCTGCGGAAGGAGTGGGTGTGGTGAGGGCGCGGAAGGGGGAAACAGTGGTCCGGGAAGGGGGCTCCCATCCTCCTTGACCCGCCTCTGTCTCGGTCCCTCAGACCTGCCTCCAGTCTCGGCCGGGCCTTCCAGCCATCAGCCCTCGCCCTCCAGCTCCACTGTCTCCTGGACCCAGCATCCTGGCTGTGGCTGCACCTGATCTCCTTCCTTGACACGCTCGCGGGTCCTGCTCTCCCTGGCACCGCTGCCTTCACAGCCCCGCACCTTTCCCGGCCCTCGGACCTGCTGGAAGGGCCTACGCCTGGGCCAGACCTGTCCAGCCTCACGTGACAAATGACCACGTGTAACAGGGTGAGAAAACCCAAGCCAGGAAGGCCCTGGGTTCGATTCCACAGCACCACATAAGCAGAAAAAGCTGGGATAGGCGCTGTGGCTCAAGTGGTAGATTGCTAGCCTTGAGCTGAGCTGAAACAGCACCCAGACCCAGAGTTCAGGACCCATAATGGACAAAAGAAAAGAAAACCCAAGCCAGACCTCAATCTGAGCCAAATCCATTCCCCACCCTTAAGTTTCCCATCCACCACGGCGCTGGCCACTCCTGGGGCCTGGAGCGTCCTTCCAGGTGGGAGGAGGTGGGCGTGACCCAGACCCACCTGGTTCCTGGGTGGAGATGAATCACCTGGCGCTGTGGAAGTCGGTGGTCACTTTCCCTCCTGGAACCTCCGCTTCCCCATCTGTAAGAAAAGTGGACCGTGGCTGGCTGTGGCAGGGTGCGGAGGGACTGGCCGTGGCTGGCTGTGGCTGCCCTGCCGGGCAGGGTGCGGAGGGAGTGGCCCGGGCCTTTCGTGCCCCAGAGTCGGGGAGGGGCCAGGGGCCTCCTCCGTCCTCACCGCAGCTCCTGGAGGATGAGGTCAATCTAGACTTGGGTCCATGTGTCTGCTAAGGCACAGTCTGCAGACCCTGGACCTGAACACCTCTCCACCTCCTCCTGACTTGGGTTCTGCCACCCCATTCTCCAGGAGAGGGGCAAGTTGTCCAAGGTCAGTCATCAAGTTCACGGTCCGGCCCGGATCAGAACTCTGGTCTCCCGCGTTCCATTCGGGGCTCCTTCCACACACGGTGAGCCCCCAGGCCGGACCTGAGCCCTGACCTCTGACCCCTGGCTCGAGTGCCCTCTGGCCTCCAGCAAGTGTCCCTGTGGCCGCCAGGGGCCTGGGGCGGTGGGCGCGGCGGGCAGGCCCCAGGCACACACTCGGGTCACGACCGCGCGGGGCTTCGGGCTCCACGGATGGACGCTGAGCGGGGACGGGCCACGCGCCCCAGGGCGACGCCGTGGCCGAAGCGCCGCCCCAGCCCCGCGCCCCAGGTGTGCTGACCGGGCTCGGTGGGACGCCGGGCGGGTTACGTAAAGTTCGGAC